AATGGCGTGGATAGTAGTTAGACATGGTTCAACGGGCAATAAAACAACAAAATTTAATTATAAATAGATGTATAATGTTACGAACTTAGGATAAACGAATGTAGTTTTATGTTTCAATTTGAAGTCACTCTAGAAAGAAAAGAAAGGTTAATTCAGGTTTATTTCGATTTTTTTTTTTGGTGGTTACGAGGTCGGTCGAATTGACTGATCCTGTTTGGAGATAGGATAGAAAAAATAACATATAAACTATAAAGTTTTACTGAAAAAAGTTTGAAATGCAATTAGGAGTTTTAGGGAATACACAAAGGATTTTTGAGATGACAAAAAAGTATTTTTAATTTTAACATGAAAATTACTTTGCACATTGAGTATTCAAAACAAATACTCAATATATTAGTGTACAAATCTTTATTTTATTTTATTTTAAATATTTCACTAAGAAATATGGCTTTTTGTATATGAAAGACTTCTAATATTAACTGAAAGACTGCTAAATTTGGTGAAGATATACCCAATATATTGAGAGTTATAAGTATTAAATTTATAAATACTTTAAATGAGTACAAAAGGTCACGTGACTCTGTCAAATTGACTGACCCCCGTATTGATAGGGTTAATCTATTTAAATAATGTGTGGAGCAACTTTTGATGCTATTTACAGTGTCTTGTAAAAGTATTCAACCCCTGCAAAGTTTCCACATTTTGTTGTCGTCTGAGTTTGCAATCATGAAACTTTCAAATGAAATTTTATTTTGAGAATCTACACACAAGCTAACCCAAATTGAGAAAGATATAAAAGCTGTTATTATATAAGTAGTTAGATTAAAAAAATTGTTTTAATATTCTCAATTGCATAAGTATTCAACCCCTTTGTTATGACAATCCTAAATCAGTTCAGGTGTAAAATATTAGTTTGAAAGGTCACAAAATTAGTGTAATGGTCTCTGTCTGTGTTTAATCAAATTTGTTTAACTTGATTTCATAGTAAATGCATCTGTTCAAGACACAACTCATATACAGATCCTTGCAAAGATATTCACCAATAATGTCACATTTTGATGAAATACAAATAATGTAAATAATTTTTAATGATCTTGTTTTTATTCAAAGCTCTAATGATCAAACTTAACACTATTATGTGTGAAGGAGGTTGAATGTCAGCAAAACCTACAAAGAAAATATATAAACTGAAATTTCTTGATTGCATAAGTAGTCAGCCCCCTAAGTCAGTAATTTTGCAACAATTACTGCTTTGAGTCTTTATGGATAGGTCTTTACCTGCTTTGCACAATGGGATGGTGTAATTTTTGCCCATTCTTCCTTGTAAAATTGCTCCAATTCTGACAAGTTCATTGGGATTGTTGATGAACTGAAATTTTCAAGTCTCGCCATAAATTTGTTATTGATGTGCTTTGTTGGGCTTGCACCAGATATAATGTTTTGAATTTAGACCGAGATGCTCACTTTTTTGTCTCATCTGACCCCAAAACCTTTTACCACATGTCTGCAGTATCATTTAAATGCTTTGTTGCAAACTCCCCTATGAAATTTAGGATAATCCTTTTTCAGTAATGGCTTCTTTCTTGCCACTTGCCCATACAGGCCAGCTTTGTATTGGGACTGATATATTGTTGATGTATGAACATTGACTCCCATTACAGATATGGAACTTTGCAAATCTTTCAAAGTTTCTTTCGGCTTCACAGTGGCCTCCCTAACGGTTTGAAGCACATTCCACTTCTTAATAATTTACTTCACTGTACTCAAAGAGATCATCAGCGACGTTGCAATTTTCTTGTTAGCTTCTCCTGATCTATGTTTCTTTACCACTTTATCCCTGACTTGTTTGGAAAGCTCCTTGGTCTTCAGTAAACAGGGGTTGAAATTCATAATAAAACCACATAATCTTTTCAGAAATAATATATGTAACATTACAATGATAAATTAAAACTTTGCTTTACCACTTCCTGTTGGACCTGACACAAAACTCATAAAATGTGGTTGTAGACAGTTATCCTTCTTGAAGTCTAATGAGAAATAAATGAAACAGAACTAACTTTATATAGATCTGAGAATTATGTTTCAGTGTAATTGGGGTATTTCCGGAAGGCTCTGCTCATGCCCTCTTTTCAGTTCATAGACCATGATGAAGAGTTTGTTCCATTAGATGAAAAAATCCAATATCAATATAGTAGTCTGGAAAGATGTGTCATTTGGTCTAAACTGGATGATAATTATACTTTTCTTCATTGTTATAAATGGCCTGAGCTTTTTGTTGCTGCATACCTTATTAGAACTTGCCACCTTATAGGATATTGAAAAGGATTTAATATGTCTGTTATTTTACTCTTCATTCTTGAGAAGTTCAATTTCTCACTAATGTTAAAATTGAGGATAACTCTTTAACTTTTCCTTTATGCAGATCATGTGGAATCAAGATCATCATGTAACCACTTTGATGCCAAGAGAGTTTTTATTGTTACCTGGGTCACCAAAGAGATGAAATAAGCAGTTGAGTGTGGCTACCAGGAAATGAAAATATATATGATTTTCCACTTTCCTATTAAATTCGGAGATCTTTTTAAGAATCATATTGATACTTTTCTTAAATAAAGCAGGGAAGTTCTGGATGGTCGTCTCACTGTGTAAAATCAAATGCAAAAGAGGATTATATTCCTCAGTATATCAAAAAGTTAGGAGTGCAACTGATTGCACAAACATAGTCTTTAATCCAGAAAGAAGGTCAGTTGCAAAACTTTGTCTTATCTTTTTTGGGAGATGCTGGGGATAAACTAAAACTTACCTATGTAACACCTGTTAGAGCATCACTTTTTAATGAATGATAACACCAAGATTTTAATAGATATCACAATAGTTAATGATGAAGTAATTGCTTTTCATTGGAAGCACAAGCATGAGTACCTGCCCCAGAAACACCAAACCAACACCACTCTGGTGGCTTTTACCACTGCTCATTTACAGTGAGTCAGTGGTGGTTCCAAAACTACAGATGCTTACACACGATGTGAAGTTCTGTTGTAAAATTAGTTTACCATTATTTCTAAAAGGTAAAACAGGATGGTAGAGTTTCTTTGGGGCTAGAATATTGCATTTTATAAAACCAATATATATATATATATATATATTTGAAATGAGTGAATGGTGTTGTATTGGTTTGTCCATAGATATCGGAATGGAAAGCTTATGTATTTGATCTTTTCTCTTTACTTTATATCATACAAAAGTATTGTTGTGTTTACTTGTGACCACGCTGTGTATGTGTTTTGATAATATACCATTAAGAATATACAACTTGACCAACGAATTCGATAATGCAATAAGAGAGCCACGTAATATATTTTTCTAATCCCTGAAAATGTACTTTTGATGACTAGCTTATATAATTAGTATTAAATGAATGATGTTATATTAGGCACATAAATTCTTAAAATATTATTCAACTGGAATTCTTAAAATGAATATTGATACCTTTGATAATGTTTCATTGAAAGTGAAAAAAAATGAATGAAATATTTTATTTAAAACAAAGAGAAATAGCAAAATTTTGATAGAAACAACACTGGATTAACGAGATTCCCACTGTTCCTATCTACTAGCGAAACCACAGGGAACGGGCTTGGAGAAATTAGCGGGGAAATTTATGTAAGGTAATGTTTTTTAATTAAGTCGCACTGTTTCAATAACAATTCACGACTAATCCTGTACTGTAAAAAAAATATTAATTTTGAAAGATAGGCCTTTATTTTAACCTCATTGATTTGACAAAGAGCATCCGGAAAGAGAGTCAAAATATGTTAGAATTTATTAACTTTAGGGTTTTGTCATTGCTTCGTGTAAGTTAAGTACAATTAACAGCAGGTGGCGAAACTATAAACTTCACTAGGATTCATTTTGAAGTAATACCTCTAAAGATTTCTAGTTTTTATATCAAAGAATGGTTGCAAGCCCATGAGAGGATTACATATTTATCTATAATATTCATTGCCGTCTTGGTACTTTTTAATCAAAAAAGGTTTATTTTCGCACAGTTGACCTGATCATTTCTTCTTCCTCAAAGTACACGGTATCAGGAGCATGGATACTTCAATATCGTCAACTTTTAACATCTTAACCAAGTGTTCTCAGCGTCCACCGATCAGCCACAGGTTTTGTGTCCGAGTAACATTTTGAAAACACACACATTTTGTAAATTTTTAAATACAATTTGTATTTTGATAAATGATCGAAATTAACTGGTTTCTTATACTTTCATGCACGTATCTCTCCAGGTATTGCTGTTTTGATGTTAGTGAAAATTTAAGATACATACACACCTACCTTTATACTCTATTACTCCGACAAAGTGTGTGTGTGTGTAAAACTCTTCCATTTTCTAGTTTGATTTCATTCTCTGTTTAGTATGAAAACAGGAAAGTTCAAATTAAGTAGCAAAACCACAACATGACTTCATGTAAACCTGTGTGTGAATTTTTTTACTAAAAAAACGACAATATATATTTTTCATTTTGTAATCTATTACTTAAGATACTTTCTTCTAAAACTCTTTTGTTCTTTGCCATATAACTCTTGTTGATTGTTGTGGCCAAATGATAATAAATTATTATAACTGACTGCTGCTGCCATCTGTTCACAGTTTAATGCACTATTATGTTATCTTCAATAAAGGAATGAGTCCTAGCAAGGTTATTAACTGTAATTATTAACAAGTTTTTCATACATGAAATTAATTACAAAAAAAAGAACTGAGACTATAATTTCCAAACTTTATAGAATAAATTATTAAAACATGCATAGGAAATATCACAAAAGTTGCTTACAAAAACACTTACGAACGTTGTTCCTGTTGCAAACGTTAAACGAGTAAAGATTAAAAATGTAGGATGTGTCAACATGTAAAGGGAAGGGAAACCGACCCTGTTCTAAGAGATTTTGTCTCCAAGGTTGAGCAAATGTACACATTAGCCTTATCAATAAATCCCACTCTCGTGTAATATAACTTCCTGTGTATAATCAAAACTACAAATATCCACATGTAGCTAGAAGCGACACTTTTTAACAGGCTACTGCTACTGACTAGCTTCGTGTCAACTGGTGGTTTCAGTTTCAGAATGTTTTTTATCTATTTAAGATTAATTCTTTGTTTAGTTTTGCGGTTTTATGTAATACAAGGTAAGTAGACTTTAGTTTTGTGTTGTTGTGACAACTTATTATACTAGAACTTCCTTGCAGTAGGACAGAAATATGCCACATTAGATTACATGTCAATTCATTACTGATTTAAAAAAGTCTAAAGACATATGAACATTAGAAATAAGAAGTAGCTATCCGATACGTATGTCATAGTAACTCAGCCATTGAAAATTAGCTAACCTTGACAAATATAATATTAAAATTACCACAGTTTGACCTTTTCACACACTGTTCTTAATATGTTATGACAAAACAGCTAACATACCATCTCACAATGTACTATACCACGAATATTGATCGAATATGACGATTCTCCTTCGATTTAACCCAGTTTGTTTTATTAATATAGCTTTTATTTCTTCCGTTTTCCATTTGTTTAATTTAGAAATAAATACTATTATTACGTTTATTATTAGGTTAGTGAGTAAAACTTTACAATCTTTACGCTGCACTTAAATATGCAATGGACATTGATGTATATATATGTGTGTGTTGAGTTACAATGCAGGAGCTTACAATCTACTATCACTTAAATATGCAATGGACATTGATGTATATATATGTGTGTGTTGAGTTACAATGCAGGAGCTTACAATCTACTATCACTTAAATATGCAATGAACATTGGTGTATATACATATATATGCGTGTTGAGTTACAATGCAGGAGCTTACAATCTACTATCACTTAAATATGCAATGAACATTGATGTATATATATATATATATATTGAGTTACAATACAAGAACTTACAATCTACTGTCACTTAAATGCTAAAATATATTATAGCATGGTAGATAACATTAGGCTGTGAAACCGGAATTCAACTACTTTTAATATTTAACTGTAACTGCTTGTTGTTACAGTAATACTTCTTTTCCATAACTATATTACTGATACTATTAAGCTGTAGTTTTCTTCAACCTTATTTCCAATATGATTTGTAATCAAACGACAAAGTCGCTTGAATTACTAGACCTATTTTCTATTTTTTCAGTGATGGCTGGATACGAGGTGAAGACTGATACACATGGTTACGTTATTTTCTGTGGTGAACAGAGTCCATGTATCAACCCTAATGGCCTTAACGCTAACCCTAACGACTGCTGCTCCTTTTTCAATTGTTACAACTGTACATCCTACTTTCTAAAGTGTCCATCAGGTCTTCACTTCAACTTAAAACGAAACACTTGTGATTGGCCTCATCAGGCAGACTGTCGCGCTCAAAATACATGTAAGTATATCACATTTTATTTGTATAGAGAACATTTAAGATAACAGTAAAAACGTTTTCAACAATATTGCAAAGTAATTATAGTAACAGAGAATAGTTGTTGTTGTTTGTTATTAAGCACAAAGCTACACAAAGGGCTATCTGTGCTCTGCCCACCACGGGTATCGAAACCCGGTTTCTAGCAGTATAAGTCTGCGGACATACCGCTATGCCACTGGGGAACAACAGTGAATAGAATGGATATAAAATTCAAATATTATGAAATTGTTCTCCCTCTATTGCAATGAACTGCGCCAGAGAACAGTCACATCCTGGCAATTTACACTATGATTAGTTGTCATCCAACCAATCAGACAGTATAAGTATAAAAGTACAGGTATTTGCACTATTCTCAGTAGTGGTGTGACGAAATTACTTATGACTCGTAGGATAGAAATGTCTCATGACATAGAAGTCAAAGATTTCACTGGTGAAACTACTCCATACAACAGATTGAGGGGAATTTCATGTTTCAATCGGAGTTCATTGAAAACTCTTGAAAGCATACATGAAATACTACTGTTGATAAAGAAGCAGTCGAGTTAGAAAGCTTAAACATTATATTTACAGTTTCCATAATTACTTCCGATACTGCATTGTATGTAAAGTCCTTAGAACGAATATATATATAATATGATTTTCATTTAAACAATATTTATACTCAGTCGCATTGACCTCAACATGGCACTCTCTCCTGAATCATACAGTTTAATACACAATGAGTTAGATAAATAAGATCCTTCTGTAATTTGTGACACATAATTTTGTCGTATCCAAACAAATTTTGAATACTTCGCTAACAATACAAAATAATCATCGTAGTAAATAGTATTATATATATAGTAGTAACTAAATACAAATATTAGATCTATATGTATTAAACATTTTGATCATTACTTTGATGAAATTACACTATAAAAAAGATATCACTTACTTACAAATAACATATAACTAGTTACTTGCTTCGTGCACTGTCACCAATTTCCCGACCATTGAAAAGTATGACATCAGTATATGCAAAACTTTTATGTAATTCTCACTAAAAACGTCTAGTGACAAATTAAAGCGAAGTAAATGACTCCGATTGTGTAAGTTTAAAGTAGCTTAACATCAGAGATAAATTACTGCAGCATTCACGTGTATCATACATTCATAACGTCTCATTCTTAGCACGTCTAACATGAGTTTTGTAACCTAACATTACAAATGCTTCTTTCCAGGCTATGAAGAGAAACTATAACTGTAATTCGTCCTGAGTACAATATAAACACAAGTCTTAAAATAAGACCCAAAACTCGAGCGCTTTCGAGTAGTTGACTATTCTTTTTCTTCTTTGTTCTCCTAAGGAAGAATAGTCAACTATTCGAAAGTGTTCGAGTTTTAGGTCTTATTTTATGTTTATTACACTTTATGTATGATCCTTTGTGCTAACTCTTTCATCAAAATTAAACACAAGTCTTGTAGCATTACAAATACATCAGGACTTTAAGGAGAAGAAAATTACTTCTCGTCTTGTGTGGAATCTAAATACAAGTTTCATAACATTACAAATGCACGTAAAAGAGTTTCGGTAGATATTGTATAACTTTGCTGTTAAAGTGTCCAATCGTGAATCCATGCTCTAATTGTAAGTGCTCTAAAATATATTAACTTAGTTTCTGGATAACAGATGACGCTAGTTGCCAAAGTGTGTTCTGTTTTGAATATTGTTTGTTAGGTTAGGGCCATTACAATCAATTGAAGCTAATGTGTTTGCTAATGTTTCTCACCCTGTACAATATGTATATCTGAGTTAACAAACAGCCAAAACAAAGAGGTAGGTTTCTATTAAAGCTTTTTAAATGATAAATATTTAACGTCTGGCCATTAAGCACGAATATTGTTTTTCTAATACCAATGTTACTATTTATACATATAATACCTAGTTACATTATATATCATAAGCGAAAATTAAAAATACTTAGAATAGAAAACTTAAAATGTTATTTATGATGCAAATTTTAGCTTAGCTTGAGGTTCCAGCCATGACTTGTGCCTTTGTTGAAAAATAACTCTGCTATTTAAAAAGTAATGCTAAGAATATTCAGATCAACTTTGAGACTGAGGAGTCATCATTTGTAAAACGAAGGTGAACCCAAATTCTTATATAACAATTGAATGACTGGAATATAGCAAACTCTCATTCCCACCTATCTTAACCCTCAAATTATGGACTAGTTTGCTGATCTAAAATATTACCTATTTTTCTGTAAAATACACAGGAGATATTAGTAGTAATTATTAGGTTTGGCTATAATACTGATAACGTTTTTGGTTAATTTTCTGTGGGCCTCATATCTTATTAGAGACCGTGTAGCTGATAAAGATATGACCTAGAAGAAACTTGGTGTATGAATAGTTTTTGAAAAATGTGCATAAAAATCCGATGGATTCCAGACAGAAATTTACGTTTGTTTACAGAAAATCTCCTTTATAAACTCTTGTGTTTTACTTTCAATTTCTTCTTTAGATTGCCACCAGAAGTGAACACGATCCATATCTTATTCGGGAAATCATGATATGAAATTTAGTATTCTTGAGGTAAAGCTAAGATGATGGATTCTATACTGACTCGTCTAGTGGATAAACTATTTTATTGCTCAGATGACGCATTTTTGTGTTCTTTCACAGATATGATGTATACGTTTCGTTATCTTACTACTGTAACTTCTTAAATATATCTTAATAAAGCATTACGATATATAATCTAATTGAGTCTCATTTATGAATTAAGTGAAGGAAATGAAAATAATGAATATTGTAATCTTCGTACACATCATTAAAAATACTAAAATCAAGACTGGGATGTTGAAGTTGTTCTCTATTGACATATATCTTGTTTAAGGCATTTCCGGTAATCTAATAAGTAAAATAAAGAATAAAAAGATAATATGTAAAATAAAAGTTATTCGAATGCTGATTGGGCTAATGATATTGTCTTATTTATCTATTTTCCGGAGTTTTTCCTAAGGATTTTTTCAACTGTACAATTATATTTTAACTTCATCATTTTTTAATAGACGACGTCTTATTGCACCTCATATATACAGCCCTAGTAACAAATGATAAAAAAGAGGAATATTCTAGTAAATACATTTATTTATCAACTCTGGGATGGTATTTTATAATCTGAAATATGATTTTTTTGAGAATATTTATCCACTTGAACTTACTTGTATAGGTGAATTTTTAACTGCACAAATGTTTTAACGGGTATACAAATTGCGGTCAACTGCATACTAGGAAAACCCTGCTGTTTTCGGTGTATGCAACAGTAGCAGTGCCATGATGACATTTAATCTTTCGGTAGAATGTCTAAAAGTTAAAGAAATGTATGAATGAGATTGGACAAGAGCTCTTGCATTAAAAGTGCCCCCCCCCCCCCAGTGGCACAACGGCATGTCTGCGGACTTACAACGCTAGAAACCGGGCTTCGATAAACGTGGTGGGCAGAGCACAGATAGCCCATTGTGTAGCTTTGTGCTTAACTTCAAACAACAACAACGAAGCATTAAAAGTGAAAGCAGCTGCGCCATCTAGAAAGTAAGCTTTATTATTGTTGTGAAACTTAAGAAGGAAACGACAAGATATGACGAAACATTGAAATAAGATTTAAAAAAACTGCAATGTCGCAAAAAAACCCCACTAAACTTAAATGTTCTGTTAAAAACGTAGTATTTCAACTGATCCAGTGCAATCCCATAAGTTCTTATTCTGAGTGACAGCACAAAACAATGTAGTATTAGTGTTATAAACGTATTTTAGTTACTAATAAATATTAGTTTAGTTATTGATTAAGAATATAATTTTAAAATATACAGAGACTTTCCATCATATTCCATAATGTGAAAATCTTTATGAACTTTCATATTTGACGTAACTGAATTTTACATTTTTCTAAAGTCACATTTTATAACATCCCGAAACGAAACAATGCACATTTCAATATCTTTTTTTTTTTCAGGGGGTGTTGGTATTGCAGGCAAAAAAGATTACTATTTTTTTCAAGCGAAATTTAATATAATAACATGTCCCTAAACACTCATCATTGTTATTCAGTGAGCAGTATTATAATCACGACATTTGGATCAGCAACTTATAGGTTCCAATGTCACGTCACAGGGTAACCATACATCCAAGCTAGTTGTTTTGTTTCTCATGAAAACATTTTGTTACCTGGTTATAGCTATTTAATGAAAAACACCTTAGGTGTGAATAAAAAGGTGCTGCCAAGAAAGGATTGAGCGTGCGACTCAAAGAATTGAAATCAAAATTGGCAGCCAAACTGGTAGCTACACTTATACCACTGATAACAATTTTACAGCAAATATTCATTAATTAGTTAGCCCAGTCGCGTTTATTTGTTTGTTCAACTAATGATTGAATATATTTTGCTATAAAATTATTACCTATGTTATAAGCGTAGCTACCAGTTTAGCGGTCAATGTTTATTTAATTCCTTTAAGTCGCACGCACAATCTTTTATGGCCACACCTTTTTTCACACCTAACATGTTTTTCATTAGATAATTGATATAATGTAAGATTAATGGTATCTTGTGTTTCTCTAGACGCAGATCTTTATCATTATGAATATTATTTTACACTTATTTTCTTTATGCATGGTACTTCGTATAAATCTCTGCAGCAGCCAGAGCTTTCTGTGACTAAAATCTGATATGTCATGTGTAAGTCCTTAAAAATACAGCATTAGTTAAGTGTTCTTCAGCTTATTGAAAGTTGTTTGTTTATAAAAAAAATCAACAAAACAGTCGTATAGTGTCCCCACCTCTTCCCACAAACACACACAGAGGAAAGCCAATGACAAGGTTAACTTGGCGTTATCACTAGCGCAGCATGTCGAGAGAGGATATTAAAATAGTCACCAAATAAAAGAGCCTGGGAAAGCGAAACTATAAATTATGACCGATTTAGTTTTACATAGAGTTGGATCATTCCCCGAGATGAGACTAGTTATTATTGTGATCGTTGTTAGCATTGTGTTACGGGTGGCTTTTTGTACATGGAACAGTAGAGAAAAAACAAATACATGTTTGACTGGTATGAATTTCGCACAAAGCTACACCAGAGATATCTGCACTATCCGTCACTAATTTAGCAGTAAAACACTAGAGGGAAGACGGCTAGTCATCACCACTCAGTGCCAACTCTTGGGCTACTCTTTTACCAACAAATAGTGGGATTGACCGTCACATTATAAATCCCCCACTGCTAAAAGAGCGAGTATGTTTGGTGGGACGGAGATTCGAACCCGCGACCCACAGATTGCGAGTCGAGCGCCCCTAACCACTTGGCCATGCCAGGTCCCAACATACATGTATATACTTAGATCCGTTTGTACTATGTATAGATAGTAGCTTCAGTATCGATCTTTACTTACTCTAACGAGAATGTCTTTATATTCTGCATGTGAGATATTGATAGCATGTGGATATCAAAGCGTGAAAGCTTTAAGCTTAAATACTGATGCTCTGGTTTAATAATCTTTATTGATTTGTATAAGAAATATTATGTATACAAAGGTGATTGACTCAAAACTATCTGATTGTGTCCCTTATGTTCTTGTTCAAATCCTGACGACTAACTTTGGCATTTGTTGTTTTCTATTTGTTTGCTAGATTTTGAACCAACGATTTCTGAACGTCAGATTCCTGAGGGGGTGACACTATGCAACTTCGATGTTGTATAAAAGACAGACTGAGTAAACGCACAATGGATTCTTGTGGTCTGAATTAGAATTTCATAAACTCTCGCTTATCGTGACCACTTATTTGGCGGTATTCAGACTCGCTAGCACCCCTTCCTACCCCTACCCATGTAATATTATATTTATAACAATGAATACAACGTAACTGTCAATAGGATGGGCGTGTCTGTTTGGATAAGCACAGCTGTTCCACTTAAGTAGCGATGTCTATGAAATATGAAAGCAAGTTATTTTAGTTGAAATCAATATCCGTTCTTAATGACTACCATTCTTGAGAACCCTGTTTCATACAAATAACAAAAAGCCAATGGCACAACTGATGTCACGGTGCTAATTGCGGTAGAATATATTGAGGTCGCTTGAGTGAAGATTGTAGGTTTTCGCAAAATAAACAAACAAACACGTAATCTGTTTAATTTTGGAGGTGGTATCTGAAAATTTGTTTATCTCTACAATTGATATGAACTTTGTTTCGCTTCTGACTTGAGAGTGCAATGAAATATGTTTGCTTTCAATAAATAAAAAATTACTTGTGAACATGAGTTGATCATGTAATTAGTTTTATTTTTGGCTTTATAGGTTATTTTGATTCCTTGTTTAAGAAATTATTTGAAGTGCAATTTTCACAGAAATGCATTGTATTTATTACACTTATTCGCATCATTGAAGCGTTTGAGAAGATTTCTCGACATATCTTACGCATATAATAGGCAGACCAGCTCACATACGACATAATAAGGAACACAGGTAAAATTCACAATAACTAAACCTAACGTACATCTTAGCAGTCAGTCTTTCTTCGAAGCTATTTGTTAAATTTTCTTTTATTATGACTTTTTTTGCAACTGATTTATTTAAAGGAAAGAAGATAAATAGTAACATATAGCTACGTAGACAAGTTCCATCAGTTAACAATACCACCAACCAAGGGTTTAGTATCAAGATGAACAAATTCATGAACACAAACTACTAAACATATCCTTACCATATTTCAAAGTTATGTGTCGTCAAGAATGCATATTTTATGTTTGACAATGGATTAGACAAATTTGTGGCCACAGCTTCGTTTATAAGAAAACCATGAAAATGACAACAAGAGGTTTTTCTTTGTTTCTAAGCATAAAGCTACCACGGGTATCGAAACCCTATTTTTAGCCTTAGAAGTCCTCAGACTCACCATTGAAAAAGAGAGGTGAGAAAAAGTTTGTTGATAAACGAAATGTGTTGATAAAGAGATATCACGCAAAAGAAAATGCTGATATATATACATATATATATACATTTAAAGAGAATACATACACACTGCTATGAAGCTTTATTCACGTACGCTTACGATTTGAAGTACACAAAATTAAATATCGTTCGTTTCATAATGTTTTCGTGACTTTAAATCAAATTCAGAAAGAACTATTATTTCGGTGAGCTTTATTTTTCTGAAAACTTGTAAAAATACTGTAGAACATCGAGTTTAATAAAAAAAAGACTAATAATAAACTAGAACATGAAGTATTGTAAATTAGTACTGGTAAATAATTCTAGTCCTTAGGGTTATTCTAAACGATCCATTAAGTTTATTTTGGATAGCATTTTATCAACATTTTTAACATTTTTGAAACCATCACTTCATATATATTATTTTACATTTGGAAGGATTAACAGTCGATTTTAAATCAACAGAACTCGACTCTACCGGTTCTCTTCAATAGATATGCCTGTTTCAACTTTCGAATAACTTATATGTTGTTTAAGAATTTATGACTGCTCATGATTTTGAAATGCACTGAAAGCTCGCTTGCAAATTTCGATCTATTCTCACGAGGTAGATGTTTTAGATGTTAGTGTATTTTAAAGGTGGGAGTGGCTTTAATGTTGTTGTTTTTATTTAATTACAGTGTAGTACGTGCGTATTAAATTTTCAGTTCAATGCAAAATTAAATGACTATAATAAAGTCTGATATTTTGGGTTAAATTTTTTCCTCACTTTTGTTAATGCTTCCGGGTTCCAAGTTGCGACAGTTACTTCTTTAACGCTATTTCTTAACGATAAAAGTTTTCCAAATGGCTTTA